CCTCCCACTTTGGCCTTGGTTCTCTTGCAGTCTGTGCCCATTCCATCGGCTACAGATGCATGTATCTATGAGGCTGTGGAGGGCCATGACCTTCACATTCCTGTAGGGAAATACTTCCTTGCAGATGTAGGTTTCCCTCTGCGGTTTGAACTACTCATTCCTTACTGTAACATATGCTACCACCTTGCAAAATGGAGTCATGCAGGTGTAAGGTGAGTTGTAGCAGCCTTTTTTTTGTGTTATGTGCTGATTTTTTTACAGGCCAACTACAAAACAAGAACTATTCAACCTATGCCATGCATCCGCTTGAAATGTCATCGAGCAGATATTTGGCATCCTCAAATGACATTTCCGGATCCTCCTGCTGTCCCCACCATATGCTATGGGTGTCCAAGCCCAGATTCCAGCTGTGTTGTGCAGTGTCCACAACTTCATCTGCTTGCATGATCCCACAGAAGGCAACCTACCTGATGCGGACCATCCCATCAGTGATATGCACACTGAGCAGGAGCCAGCAGAGGATCATCCAGCTGGACACAACAACATACATTTGATGCATGATCACATTGCTAAAGTGATGTGGGTGGACTATCAGCACATTTTGCAGGAAAGAGGAGATGATGATGATAATCTATCAGACCAAGATATCGCGGAGGAGGATGAGGATAGACTAGACTAGTACTAGCATATAGTTGTACTTTACAATGTTATATATCAGCAGCAGCAACCACAGCCATCTACTCCTGATCCATTATAGGTATACAGCACAGAGTGGGGCTATACAAAGATGGCTCCAAACTGATATCTTTATGTTGTGGTCTTGCACTGCCTAGTCTGCTATACTTGGTGAGACAAGTGTATTCGACCCAGGGGTCTGTGGTCTGGGAATAGTTTTGGGGGTCAGTGAGTGATGTGGGGTCAATAATCCGAGCGCAAGAAACAATGTCCAAAGGTATAATTACGATGTCTGATGCAAAAGTGTCAGGTCTGATGTTTTCGGGTTATCAGGTTGTCGGGTTCGGTGTAGAGATGCAACAATTGCTGGGCACTACACAAAGTAAGTAACCAGCAATATAAAAATGTGTTGTAGTCTTGCACAGCCTAGTCTGCTATACTTGCAGAGCAAGTACATTCGACCCGAGGGGTTTGCTATATGGAATAGGTCTGTAGTTAGTGAAACAATATGCGGTCAAAAGTCCGAGCATGGGAAACAATGTCCAAAGGTATATCTACAATGTCCAATGCCAAAGTGTCAGGTCCAATGTTTTCAGGTTAGTGGGTTAGCAGGCTTTTGGGTTCAGGTTTAGTAGGTTACTGGGAATTGCGATAGCGAATGTCAGGAAGGCGAGCAGTATGCAGATTAACAATAATGATGGGTATTTCAGATGGAAAGAGTGGTAATATTCGCAATGTCAACTAAGAACTACGAAATATCAGGTTTAACCACTAGTAAGTACCAGGAAATGGCTCCCTACTACTTGGATGCTGAAAATACTCAAAGTCAGTCCAATATATATGTAAGTACATAGAAATCTGGAATCCCATAGGTGAAAGTAGTGGTCGAATACTTCGGGTCCGAAGTACATGTAAATAAATACGAGGTGTTGTGGACGACAGGAAAACATGTAATAGTGCTGGCTATGACATGGGTAATGTGTGAAATAATCAACTATGCACATAGTGGGGCTAGTAAGATGAGACAGGACATGGATAGGACAAGTGCGCAGGATTTCAGGTCAGCCAATGCAGCCAAAATGTTGGATCTGCTAGTCAAAGTGTCAGGTTTTGTTGGGTTAGCGTTGGGTTACATCAGAAAGTGATTCATGTGCAACAGGCATTTGACATGTATCAGGAAATCAGTGAATACAAGCCCAGCATGAGGCTGGGTGCTACATTGGGTTTGGTGTATCAGAAACTAATAGTGACACAATAGTGAGTGTCGGGAAAGTGAGTGGTATGCGCAATAATAATAATGACAGATACAGATGGTGAAGGAATAATGATATTCGCAATGTCAACTGAGAACTACGAAATATTGGGTTTGACCCCTAAGTGTCGGAGAACAACTCTCCTCTACTCGGATGATGATGATGCTATGGGGAGTCCAATATTTATGTAGATACGTAGAAATCCAGAACCCTATAGGTGAAAGTAGTAGTGCAATATTTCAGATCTGATGTCCTATGTAATAAGACATGATATACTGTGGACTATGGGAATACATGTAATAACATGGTCGACAATGTTAGGGATGCAAAAACAAGTAACTACACACCTAGTGGGGCTAGCACAATGAGACTGGACATAGGTAGGACGAGTGCGCATAATATCCAATAGGCTGATGTGATGTCTGATAGTCTGATGTCCGATGTTTTTGGGTTTGGTGCATATTGAGTCGGATATGATGGGGAATGATTTGGGTAATGATTAGCATTTCAACATGCATTGGAAAATAGACCTCTATGAGGCCACAAGGACTCCAAGTCCTACACTGTTCCTGGTTCTGCAAGTTCCTTCTCACTCTCATACTTACTTCTTATTAGTAGCAGCAACCACAGCCCTCTACTCCTGATCCATTCCCAGTCCTGCAAGTTCCTTCTCACTCTCATACTCACACTCAATCGCACCCACGTACTCATTGTGATAAAAAAACATGTGATATGGGGTGTACAATACATGAAACATATACTACATGTTGATATAAAAATATAATGAGAAGTGATACAAATGGTATGATAGTTCTATGTAGACACAAGGAGCTCAGAGATAAATGTGTGGCACATCTCAAAGTCATCCTCCAGCTCAACATAAACGGCAAGATTGTTCTCGCCTCTTGCACAGGAGGGTGGCTCTCTGTTCAACTCCCAGATCTGCATCTGCGCTGTGCATGCTTGCGAGACCGTGGGAGATCACAGTGGGTGGAGGAGAAGGGAGTGGTGGCACCACTTCAGGCAGATGGACCAAGCTTTTTTCAATAGCATCAGTGAGGCGATTGATACTACTAACTTGCATGTTCATGACGGCAGGAGCTGGAGTTATCTTTGCAGCGACTCTGGCAGCACTGCTCATCCCTGTATGTGTGCTGCCATGCACCAATACTCAAGCCTTCTTGAAGACCTGTAACTGAGTGGAGGGCACCAATGTTGATGAAAGTGGGAGAGATGACAACTGTGGAGTATTGGGATGGCTAGATATGGGGGTGCCACTGAAAGGGAGAGACAATGTCTCCAGGTGGTTGAGTAGAGTGTTGGTGCACAGGCGTTTACTGGACTGGGAGCCAGTAGTAGTAGCAGAGGCTCTGATACTAGGTGGCACCATCAGGTCAGTGCTCATGTCTGGCACATTGCTAGGGTGAGTGACTCCAGTAGAGACACTGCCCCTGCTAGGGTCTACATCCATGTTGGGAAAGTTAAGGCCCCCATCAGCATCATCGAGTACATCATCTATATTGATGGAGGCGGGGGCTGTAGTTGCAGGGTGGAATGTGTGCCTTCCATGAGCACCGCTGTTTTCACCTAAGATGGCCTGCATGTCATCATATGCGGGCCACCCTTTGGTGCAGAAGGGGCACATTACAATTCATGACTAGTTCAATGTTAGTTAATATTGCACAATATATTTTATTATGACATACCTTTGGAGCAACATATGCATCTTAAATGCTAGCAGCAGCAGTGCCTTCAATTCCAGCTCCCTGCACATTGTCCCAATGAAAGCCAGACACATTGTGGTAAACCTCAATTTGATTGAATGTTTTTTTGAGCTAAACTGATCTCATCAATACATCGTCAATCAATATAAGATCACATACCAAGGTCCACTTTGTCTTGACCATCTTGCCCGTTGTAGCACTCGGATTGGCGTTGGGCACGTATCCTGCCAATCTCATAGGTGTCTCACATTATACTTCTCGACACTTCTCTTACCTTCTGAGAGTTCCGTGCATTTATCTGAGTCGTCCAAAGGTCATCTGTTCCTTTCCAAGGCCTATATACACTTCCGATCCTCCATACCATGTCCGTTTGACTTTGCTGGTGCATTTTCCACTTGTTCATCTGTTATTGATTATGTCTTAGGGCACATACATTGTCGGCCTGTCAAAACCATTGGTTAATATGTATAGCTGCATGCCTCGTGCGTTATTACATGCATATCTCTGTACCGGCTCGCCTCAAGTCTTATTACATTTCGGATAGCTTATCTTGCTACTACTTTCACCTACACAGTTCCTGGACTTTCATGCTGTAGGATATAATCTGGCTCGCTAGCTACTCGCACTTCACTTCACTTTCCCTGCTACAAGTCATAGTTAGTAGAGTCACTTTTGGATAGTCGTACTTCGCACAATCGATCCTTCTTGTTCATTTGGAACAATTGTTTGGCCTGACCGCTGCCATTTGCATCTCGCTGTCTCTAAGTTCCTTCGATAGGCTTTGCTTAGTTGTACTTCGCAAGTCTTACACTTTGACATACCCGCCATATTTCACTCTCAGAACCTTAGCTGTTCATCGGAAGCTCTTCAGACACTTTGTGCAACCTTGGACCTTTGTTCTTGACATTGGACCTTCAGACCTCATTGGATGAGTACTTCGGTACTTCGGACACATCTTCCGAACATTGAATGCACTTGGGTGACCTTTCTGTTCTTTCTACTTTGATCTTAACTAGATATCCCTTGCACTTATATCAAGGAGCATTTCTATAGGCAGTCTCTTTGGGATGAGCATTACACTCACACATTGAGTTCTGAAGGTAACACTTTTGTAGCACCTACACAGAATCAACTCTTTACACCGTCTTTGGTGGGCCTATTGTTTGAATTGCACCATCAGCATTGATAGCAGCTGCTGCACTGTTGTAGGTAGGCATTGAGAAATTTCTGCCATCACCATCCGATGCCCGATTCTTAATCAGGTGGTGAAGCAGGACATCCCCTGAAGTGCACGGAGTGGGAATGAGTGCAGGTATGCGCCAGGTAACATCAGCCAAGAAGTACTTGCTATTGGGAATGGAATATGAGGAAATAAGGTGGAACCTATATCCTTCAATAGCCCTTGACACAAATATGAAAAGATACTCTTTGCAGCCCAGGGAGGTTCCGAGTGTTACACCAGGTTATGTAATCTCCGATATGGCTGACCAGTGTTCTAGGTTTGTTCAACCTCGACACTTCCCCTCAAACCTAGGACAACCCAAGTTCATGTATATGTTGGCAATGTGCCAGTTTGGGTAGCACATTTGTGAAGATGTCCACTGTCATTTGTGCAGTAGGACAATACTTCAGTTTTATTTGTTGACCTTGAACTCTATTTTGGATATAGTGATGTTTTAAATCAAAATGCTTTGTTCTTTTGTGATACTGCAAGTTTTGTGCAATCACCAACAAGCCAGAGTTGTCTCCATGTAACAAGGTAGCCTCTTTCTGCTCATATCCTAACTCCAAGTATAGATTTTGGAGCCATACTGCTTCTCTTGCTGTGCCCGAGAGACAGATATATTCAGCTTCCATTGTTGACAAGGAGATGGTGTTTTGCTTTTTTAATTCCCACATTATTGCACCTCCGCTCAATAGGAAAGTGTATCCTGAGATGGAGGTGTGATCATCATTATTTGTAAAGCTCACATTAGAATACCCAATGAATCAATTTTTGGTCTTTCCCAAGGGATTATTTGTTTTATAGGTTATTCCTATATCTTTGGTACCCTTGAGGTACCATAAAACACATTTCACAGCAGTCCAGTGAGTTATTCCAGGATTCACTGTATACGATGCTAACCAATGTAGCCGGATTGGCATTGGGCACATATCCTGCCAATCTCATAGGTACCTCACATTATACTCCTCGACACTCCTTTTACCTTCTGAGAGTTCTGTGCATTCATCCAAGTTGTCCGAAGGTCATCTGTCCAATTCCAAGGCCTATATACACTTCCGATTCTCCATACCATGTCCCGTCCATGTCCATTTGACTTTGCTGGTGCATTTTCCACTTGTTCATCTGTTATTGATTATGTCTTAGGGGCACATACATTGTCGGCCTGTCGAAACCATTGGTTAATATGTATAGCAGCATGCCTTGTGCGTTATTACATGCATATCTTTGTAGCAGCTCGCCTCAAGTCCTATTACATTTCAGATGGCTTATCTCGCTACTGTTTTCACCTATGCAGTTTCTGGACTTTCACGCTGTAGGATATAATCTGGCTCGCTAGCTACTCGCACTTCACTTCACTTTCCCTGCTACAAGTCATAGTTAGTAGAGTCACTTTCGAATAGTCGTACTTCGCACAATCGATCCTTCTTGTTCGTTTGAAATGATTGTTTGGCTTGACCACTGCCATTTTTCATCTCACTGTCTCTAAGTTCTTTTGATAGACTTTGCCTAGTCATACTTTGCAAGTCTTATACTTTGACACACCTGCCGTACTTCTCTCAGAACCTTCGCTGTTCATCAAAAGCTCTTTGGACGCTTCGTGCAACCTCACACCTTCATTTCTTGACGTTGGACCACCTTCGGACCACATTGGATGAGTACTTCGGTACTTTGGACATATCCTCGGAACACCAAGCACACTCTTGGTAACTTTCCCTTCTCTCACCTTCGATCGTAACAAGATATCCCTTGTATTTTATATCAAGAGATAGTTCTATTGGCAGTCTCTTTGGGATGAACATTACACTCGCACTTCGAGTTCTAAGGTAACAACATTTGTAGTGCCCACATAGAATCAACTCTTTACATTGGTTCTTTGTCTCTTTTGGAAAAGGTTGACATGATGCTTTGGCCAGTGTGCAGGTCTCGCAGTACTCCAGTGTAGTACTCGGGTTGGTGTTGGGCACGTATCCTGCCAATTCACAGATAACTCATATTGCATTCCTCAACACTCCCTTGACCTTCTGAAAGCTCTGCACATTCATCCGAGTCGTCCAAAGGTCATCTGTCCATTTCCGAAGCCTATTCCTACCTGTGAACCTCCATACCATGTCCCATCTGTGTCTGTTTGACTTTGCTGGTGTGTTTTCACTTCACTTGTCTGTTATTGATTATGTCTTAGGGGTACATATGACATCAGCCTGTTGAAAGCTTGATTAATATGTCTAGCAGCACACCTCACATGTTATTACATGCATATCTCTGTAGCGGCTCACCTCAAGTCTTATTACATTTTGGATAGCTTATCTCACTGCTACTATTCTTGCCTACACAGTTTCCGAACTTTCAAACTGTAGGATATAATCTGGCTTGCTAGTTACTTGCACTTCACTTCACTTCCCTTGCTATAAGTCATAGTTAGTAGAGTCACTTTTGGATAGTCGTACTTCGTGCAATTGATCCTCTTTGTTCATTCAGAATGATTGTTTGGCTTGACCACTGCCATTTCACATATCACTGTCTCAGAGTTCTTTTGATAGGCTTTGCTTAATTGTACTTCAGTACTTTTTCAAGTCTTATACTTCGACACACTTCAACATACATGCTGTATTTCTCTCAGAACCTTCGTTGTTCATCGGAAGCTCTTCAGATGCTTCGTGCAACCTCAGACCTTTGTTTATCAACCTCAGACCACCTTGGCTTGCATTGGACACTTCGGACACACTGGGAAATAGTCACTATGACTTTTTGTTCAGGAGCAAGTGTTATGATTTTGCAGAGTTCAAGTTTGTCCTCGAATAGGACAGTAAAACCTGCAGATGTGATGTGATTGGTTGATACTAAGGTGAAGGCCATTTTTAGCATGTATAGCGCATTCTTGAGTATGATATTTGTTTTGTTTTCTCCCAATGGCATCTCTATACTGATATCATCTCTTCCTATAGTGCTTATGGCAGATCCATCTGCAGTATGAACATTTTGAGCTTCAATAGGCTCAAATGTGACATAGCACTTGAGTCAATAATTGCTCCATGCTTTTCAACTGGTACATCTATCTTCTTTGCAACATTAATGAGGTCTGACATTGCAAATGCATAGTCATTGGCTCTTTTGATCTTGTCTGTGGTTGCTGTTTCCTTTTGGCCTTTTCTTGCCTGCCTTGGTCCTTGTCCCTCTTTCGTGCCTCCTTTTCTCCAGCAATCAACTTTGTAATGACCTTTTCAGTCACAGTTATAGCAGGTAATGTCTGAATTTGTACTGTTTGCCATGTGATTCCTCTTTGTTTCTTCTTTGGCTGAGAATGCGCTATTCCTGCCCTTCTTTGTTGTCTTTTGGTCTGCTAACTGTCTGTGTTTGTATTCTTCACTAACATCATTTATTAGCTCGTATGGTGTTAGGATGGTCTTGTAGATGCATACTGCAGTGTTTATGGAGAATAGTATGAGTCTATAGAATTCAGGTACATCATGCGAACATTATGGGAACAAAGCTTACCCTAAATAAAGCCCACAAGATCCTCAGGCACATATCCCAACCAGCACTTCGTGATGCAGTCCAGAAGGGTCTCATAGAAGGAATCAATCTTGACCCTGTCTCAAAACCATCATTCTGTGATGCCTGTACACAGGCAAAAGCAACCCATCAGCCTTTTCCCCATGAATCAAAAAGCCGTGCACCTAATTATGGACACACGGTCCATACGGACCTATGAGGACCTGCACAAACAACGAGCTTGGGAGGACATCTGTATTACATCAGCTTTACAGATGATTATAGTTGGGAGACAGTGGTTAGGTTCCTCAAACAGAAGAGTGAAGCTTTTACTGCATTCAAACAATATGAGGCTTATAT